CCAGGATAACCATGTGTTCTCTGTTACAAGCTGTGCTTCAGGTCCTTTGGTTTCCATTGCCTGTGGCAATGGCTACAGGGCACGTCACTGGGCTCCTCTCCCTTGTTCGTCGCTGGACAGCTTGCTCGCTCTCTGGGTTCACGTTCTCAAAAGATCCCACGTGGCTTATGCAAAATTCCTTCAGTTGTCTGTCCGTTTCCTTCTACGGCTTCATTTGATGTTACAGTTCTGACTTGGAGTTCAGTGCGAGCTCCTCGAGTTTCTGTAGGAAAGCACCCGTGCCCGAGGCTGGGTGGTTTGGGACGTTAGCAGTTGGTATCTATGCCGAGATACTGGAAAAGCGGGATGCAGCAATGCAAGTTTTTCTCAGAATGTGTCTTAAACCCCTCTCCTGGCTCTAGAAGAGCCGTTTATTCCGCCTTGGCTGCACCTGGCTGTACAGTCCAAAACGGTCAGGTGGGGTCGTGTGTGTGTTTTTCAGGAATTGTCCGAGGGGTTGAGATGGAGAAGAAGCTTTACCACATTCTGACGCCGGTGCCTCCGGAGAACCTGAGGCTGGTGAATTGTCTGCTCCTTGGCAACGTTGCCATCCCGAACTGCGTTCTTGTGAGCCAGGTGGGAGCTGCGTGGGAAGAGGGCGGAAGCTGGCTGAGCTCAGCCTGGCTGCCAGGTTTTCCATTTTCCTATTCCTGAGGCTTGTGCGTGCCCAGAGATGTCCGGGCATTAGCAGATGGTGGCTGCTGTAGGAAATGGTCCTTGATGCATGGAAGCAGGGGAGGGGAGAACGTTCTTCTCCTGTTTCAGCTCGCGGCGCGGGTTTTCTTTGGTGACAGCTTGCTCCTCCCCACCGGGCAGCACTGCCCGCCTGTAGAGGCAAATTGCTTCCCGGCCCGTTGAAGATAGGAGTTCTTAAAGTTGTTCCTGGTTTTGTTTTTCTCCTTTTCAGCAAGGAGTTGAGGGAGAGATCCCCTATGTCACATCCGATTATAACTACAGCATCCTGGGGTCTGGGAAGCTGAAAAAGAAGAAGCATTTCAAGAGGAGGGAGTATGCGTTTGAGTGCGATTACACCTAAAGCCTCGGGGCTTGGACCGCGGGATTTGTTTGTGTGGAGACGGGCGAGAGCCGGGTGTGGTCACAGAAGCCCTGGGTGCTACGGAGCTCAGACCCTGGGCAGGTGCCCGCTGTAGATACTGCAGCCTGTCCTTTTTGATAACCTTTTATATTTTCAGTTTGTATTTTGGTGTTTTGTAATAAATATCGATTAAAAGCGTTGGTTTGGTTTGAATTTCTTCCTCAGCCTGCACAGACTTGGCCGCGGCAAGCCGCGGGTGGTTACCAGCAAAAGCGCGCTCTGTCTTGAGTCGGCAGCGGTTCTCCAGTTAAGCCCAGCCTTCGGTTAGCTCTGGGTGTCGGAGCGCGATCCGCGCTGGCGCGGAGGCCGTAACCCCGGGCTGCTCCTGGCTCGGGGAAGAGCTCGTGCCGGTGGTTCCGTCCCTGGCACTGCGGCCGACCTGCGCCCTTCGGGAGGAAGTCAGAAAATCCTTTCTCCTGGCTTGACCGCAGAAACAGCCGCTGGAGGGAGTCAGCCGCTCGCCGCCGTGCTGCTGGGGACGCTTCATCCCGCCTGCGGCCGGCTCCGCTGCCTTGTTGCCATGGTTTAAGTTCAAGGCCTCGAGCGCCGGCCTGGGAAGAGCTCTGGGTCTGGCTCACGCGTGTCACCCAGCTCTGTCCAAATAGATCGTGGGGCGGAGGCTAAAAGGGGATGAAGGTGGGGAGGAACTTGCTGCCCGTGTGCTGACGGAGCGCCGGGGCCGTCGTCTTGCCGTGCCCCGCGGGGAAGGGCTGCAGGAACTTTTCTCTTTCTTTTTTTGTTTTTTTTTTTTTGCCAGCTCCTCGCTGGGGCAGCGGTTTGCTCCTGAGTGAAGATGGGGCTGGTGGGAGTCGCAGAGGCGAGCGAGCGGCGCGGGCTGAGGTGAGGACCTTTTTGGGAAAAGCACTTCTGAAGAGGTAACGCTGGAAAGCAGGGGGACAGGCTGGCCCCAGGGTCTGCGGCCCCCCGAGATGGGCGCCTGTTCAGATCCCCCGTGGCCAGGTCCCTCCCTCAGAGGAGGGGGGATGCAGCGCGCCGCTTGGTGCTGGATCTTTTTGTCTGGCAGCCGCTGTGGGCGTGAGTAATCTGGGAAACACGCTTTTATCTGCTTTGCAAGGAGATGTCCTAGCGCTCCAGAAATGCGTACCTGTAAAGGAACAAATGAAACGGGGTGACTAGCTGGGGGGGGGGGACGGAGCTGGAGAGGAGCTGTGAGGGGCTGTGCAGCATTGCTGCCTTTGAAAGAGTTAAAGCTTTAACTTAATCCAGGCCTAATTATCCCCATCTGGCTGGGTCTGGCAGCGAAGGAAGGACTTGGCCAGCAACCTGGCTGGAACAGTGGCTAAAATAAATACAGGGGCCACTGTGCAGCCGGGGGGGAAAATCCCAAGCGTGGTGAGGTGGGGATTCAAGTCTCGGGGGAGCGGGCGGAAAAGTCGCCGGGAAAGGTGAGACGGGCGAGCGATGCAGGTGAAACACCCAGCGCCGCAACCCCCCAGGGCTGAGCATCCCCCTTGGTGCTGTGGCCCGCGCCCCAGCATCCCCGAGGCTGCTGGCTGGGCAGGGGTCCCCCCTCGGAGCTGGGGGACGAGGGAGCGACCCCCACGTGCCTGCGCTGAGCCTCAAGTGTCCAGTTTCGGACCTTTCCAGGCAGACACCAAACTGCCAGTGCCGGCCAGGGCCCGGAGGTGGGTGCAGGGCAGGGGGGACCGCGTCAGCTCCCGGTGCTCACCGTGGGTCTGCCCCGAGGGGGAAAGTGGCGCGGGGGTGGCTGGGGGCTTTGGAGCATGAACTGTGGGTAGCACCCTGTGGGCGAGGTGGGGCGCTCGGTACCGTGATCGATAGGAAATCAGTAACTTAAAGTATGGAGGACGTGCTAAATGGAGCAAGGTGGCTGGGTTTAATTCATTCGCGTCTATTGACTTTGCAGCAACTTTTTTTTTTTTTTTTAAATTTCTGGTGACCTTTTCTGGCAAAGGGTGCCTCGAAGCGGCAAAACCACGGGGCGCGTGTGGCCCCTTCGGAAGAAGATGCTGTCGATGCCGATGAGTTTGGGGGCTGGGATGGTCTCAGCCCGGCTGATCATCCCACGGGGTGGTTTGGTTTTCCCTGGGGCTTAGGGAGGGGTTTGCGGGGGGCAGGACAAAGGTGCCGTCCTTTGCTGCCTTTGTGGGTTTTAAGCTCAATCTGGTGCTTTCCCTGTTTGCTTGGATTTAGCAGGGGGGGGAAACCCCCTTGAAGACTCCCAGCTTTCCCTGTGCGGGCTAGGGGCCCCCGGCATGCCCACGGGTGTGGGGGTGCAGCCAGGGCTCCGGGGGGGGCCGTTCTGCCCCCCCCCCAACCC